ACTGAGGAGAGTGTAACACTACCACCACCAAAAATCAAAGACAGCTTTTCTCTCTTTCTATATATATGGTGTTTACAGAGCAACACATGTTAATTGTAGGGAAGTCACACAGTAACGTTTCCCATTGGCATCTATAACTCGCCTTGAGTGTGGATGTGACCGCTCCGACTCCAGCTAGAAGTCAGTCTTCCCTGAACCCCTGTCGCTGGGAGCTGACCTACCTGAAGAGTTCATTCATACAGTGTACAGTGCCTGCAATTTGCCATTTCTGCTCAGCAGTGAGATAGAAAGGTGGGCTGCCTTTGGCCAGGTTCTTCCAGAAGCCGATCTCGAGCCAAGGATTCGGGGGTCAGTGCTTTGTTAAGTTTCAGTCCCCAGAGGAAACCCCAGAGGAAATGAGGGAGTAGAAGGGCCATTCTGGAGACAGTCTGGCAGGACGCAGGGATATTAACTATGCAAAACCCTGTGATTTAGCAGCAATTCTACCCCTGTTTAATATTCCTAGAGAAATCACACAAGGTTCCATGGGGACTCGTACAAAGATGTCCAGTGTAGCTTCTTTGTCATAGCAAAGGACTGGATAAATTAAATGTAAGATTTTGTTTTGTTTTGAATTGTTTTAAAATTTGTGGGGAAGGTAATTAGGTTTGTTTGTTTGTTTTAATGGAGGTTCTGGGGATTGAACCCAAGGCCCTTGTGCATGCTAAGCATGCACTCTACCACTGAGCTCTACCCTCCCCCAAATGTAAGATGTTTAAGTGTAAGACATTTTATGTTAATAAAATGCTCCACGTGTAGGGATCTTCTCCCCTTGCATCCATGGATCATTCATTAATTATTGTTTTGTTTTGCAAGGGCTTTAAACATATAGATATATTCTATATATTATTTTTATAATTTGAAGGGCAAAAATTATGTTCAAAGAAAATAATGGTTTATGAGCGTATCTGTGATTGTATCTTTTAAAATAGCAAATATATAAAGAAATATACTAAAATATGAAAAAAAAGAAAATAATAAAAATCGAGGTACCAACTGAGCTAAAAATGTGAAAAGGCAGCAGAAAATGAGGAGGAGCAGGATTCATGGACAATAGCCTTAAAGATGGAGAAGGAATTGGTGCAGCTGTTCCCATTCCCCTTTTCTAAGGTCTCAGGGGTTTTCCTTTGGAAAGTCACCCCCTTCCCCTCACCCTCCACTCCCTTCCCGACTGCCCCTCCAAGTGATGGCCCTTTATGGCCTTAAGCTGGTCAGCAGAATTCCATCCCTCCCAACAGGGTCTTGACTGAGAGACGGTGATCTAAGCCTAATCCCATCAGGTTTCATAAAATAGAAAACAGACTGGACCCAGGAGTTCAAATTTTTGTCATGCACAAATGTTTGCCCTGAAAAGCCTAAAAGGGCACAAAGGTTCCCTTTATCTGATCACATTTAGTAGATTTTCTCATTTCAGAATATTTTAAAAAACACAAGAACTTAACTGTAGTTAATCCCAGGGATCACACTCTGAGGGAAATAGCGAGCTATAGGTTATGGGGAAATGGCTTAATTCTGTAAAACCTGCGTGTTAATGGAGTGAGTCAGGCTATGTCCGTAGTGCCTGGGGCCCACGATTTGGCTGATCATGTGATATTACGCAGTCTGAGCAAGTCTGTTACTCTCTCCCAACTGGAACACATCTCTGTCACACTACACCAGAAGCACAATGGTATCCACTGTCATGGAATCCAATTCAAATAAAAGATGATCAATTCCACGTACACAAATTAGGTACAGGGGCTGTGGTTTAGGAGCCAAAAGGAAAAAATCTGTGGAATTCTCTATGTTCCCCTGGGAAGATTCCATGACTCCTCTGATTATATCTAGGTTTGGCATTGCTATTCCTGATTTATTACCTCTCAGGAAGAACCACAGAATCTACTGAATAATATAGATGCTAAAAGCTTGGGAAACCCATGAAATATAAGGACTTTGGCTTCATCAAGTTAAGTGAACTATGCCAGCATGCTTCATGGGGAAAGCCTGGCTTTGCAGTTACAGTCTAATTTCCAGTTCTTGATTATTCCCTGATTCTAAGAGCTGTGGCCCATCTCCACTCCTCTCCAAAAAGTCGGAGTGTCAGTGCTGACCAAATATAGACACTGGTTTGTCTTTGTTACTACTTACAGGAGAGTGTGACAGCAGCTTCTCCAATGTAGGATTATTTTAAAAACCAAACCAAACCAAACCACTAGGGTTTTACAATGGGAAGGCCCAACTGGAATTTCAGAAACAATCGACTGCATATGGTGGGCTCGTGCCTTGATTTAACTTTGCTTGTTTGAAGTATGGAGAAAAATCAATAAATGCAGTACCGTGCTAGGTTATGTTACAAACAAAAAGAATTGTAGATTCAGATTCAGGCTTGGAGAGGTCTGGGAAGGCTGACAGTGCATTTTCTTCACTCCACACATGCACAGTGTTTAATACTATATTGTGGACTAATAATACTATTAAAAATAACAGTAGAGTTAATAGGCTAGTAAAAGATTCACATTTGTCTTGGCTATCTGCTGGACTTAATCTCCCATTTGTTTCATTACTGAAATGACTTAAAATTTCCTGGATAGGCTTATTTTTGGATGGAGAATAACATGTATTTACAGACTTAAAAAAAGCTCCCAATATAGAGACAACACTATATTGCTTATTGTAACGCCATTCTCGAGCAGTAACATGATTATACTCACTGAAATGATAAGGATTGTTGAAGTAAGAGTCCTTGCTCTGTGTTTACTGGTGTCACCAGCTGAAGTTTAAAGAATTTTGACTACTATTTTCTCTGTGCCATTCCTGTCCCCTGTGCTGACGGCTACTGAGTCACCACCAAGCATTTCAGTGCATGTGTTTATTTATACATCTGGTTTCATGCTCCCAGCAACGAGCATGGTGTAATATGGTGGGTGTTTGCTACATCTGTGTTGAGTGAAAAGATAAATCAAGGGTTGGAGGGTAGGGAAGAAAAGGTGGAACACAGGGGATTTTTAGGGCAGTGAAACTATCTGAATGATACTATAATGGTGGATAACTGTCAGTACCCATTGAATGTACAACACAAAGAGTGAACCCTCATGTAAACTTATGGACTTTGGTTAATAATATTGTATCAATATTGGCTCCTCAAATATCCCACACTAATACAAGGGGAAGATAGGAGGAACTGTGTGTGAGGAATGAGGGGAAAAGAGGGCATGTGGGAAATCTCTACTTTCCAATCAATTTTTGTTTTGTAAACCTAAAACTACTCTAAAAAACCGAGTCCATTAATTTAAACAATGACAAGAGAAATCAAAATATCTTTGATGAGATCTTCCTAGACTATGTGAATTGTAAGCAATGGAAAACCAAATTTAACTAGCATGAGCACAAAGGTAAATGTGTTGATTTGCTTACTCAAGCCACAGGAGAGCACCAGGGAAAACTAGATCCAGGATCTTAAATGCTATTTTGTCATCTTTGTTACACCCTAGACTGATTTTCTTCATAACGCCCACACCATGGTGGCCCGCACCTCCCTGGCTCACAGCCTCTCTCACCACAGTGGAAAAGGGCTCTTTCTTACTTTAGTTGTTCTTAGAAAACTCCCCAGGCGATGCTAACCAGCCTCGCTTGGAAATGTGAACACCTTTAGACCATTTATGTGGTAGAGAAACAAGCTCCAGTTTGAGTATGGTGTTTCCAAAGGTGGAAACAAGAGGGCATGTAGGATCCTGTTGCAGTTACCCTGGCAAGAGACGCTGGTGGCTCAGAAAAGGGAGGTAGAGACAGAAGTGGTCAGATCCTGGAGATATTCTGAAGCTGGGGCCATCAGGACTTACTGAGGTGTTGGGCATAAGCTGTGAAAGAAAGAAGTAGGAAATGACTTTAAGGTTTCTGCCCTGACCACTCAAAGGAGGGACTGTGTTTAACTGACCTGTGATGGTTAGTTTTATGTGTAACTTGTCTGGGCGAAGGGACACCCAGAGATGTCTAGTTAAGATGTTATCTGTGGATGTGTCTATGAAGGTCTTTCTGGAAGAGATTAGCATTTGAACCAGGAGACTGTCTACAGTAGATCTCCTCTCCCCGGTGGGGGGCACCATCATCATCCATCAGTAGAAGGACAATATGGAGGAGGAAGAATGAGTTCTGTCTCTTCCTGAGCTGGGACATCCATCTTCTCCTCCCTGTGGACACTGGGCCTCCTGGGTCTTGGACCTTTGGATTCTGGGACTGACACCAGTGAGCTGTTGATGGTTCTCAGGATTTTGGCCTCAAAACTGGGAGCTATACCATCAGCTCCTCTGGTTTTCAGGCATTAGGACTCTGACTGCATTATATCACTGGCTTCCCTGGCTCTCCAGTCTTGTAGATGGCAGATCATTGCATACGTATCTCTGCCTCCATGATCACATGGGCCAGTTCTCAAAATAAATCTCTTGTATCTATCTTTTATATTGCTTCTGTTTCTCTGGAGAACATGGACTAATAAATTAGCAGAAGAATATGATGGCAGCAAAGGTTAGAGGGATAACAGGAGCTTAGTTTTAGATATAGTATGTTTGCTAGCCATCCAGTTGGGATGTCAAGTTGGATAAAGATGAGTCTTTCCTGCAGGTATCCACCTGACATATTATTTACTGACTGCCATTGTTTATTGTACAACTCCTTCCTCTGGAATACAAGCTCCAGGAGAGCAGGAACTTAGCTTGTATTGTTCCCTGCTATATCCCCAGTACCTAGAAGAATTCCTGCTGCAGAGTAGACGCTTAGTAAAATTTACAGGAAAGGTGAATGAAGGAATGAATGAGAGGTTTAAGTGTTCAAGACAACAAAGAAGGCTGAGAAGAAAGTACAGTTGGGAAGTATCTATTTGAAAGTAAAAACTGCTTGCCTGTTTAGTACCAGGGAGAGGTTTGCAACAGGCACTGTGTAACAAATACTTTCTAGATATAACTATGTACAAATGAAGACACACTTGCAAGGCTTCTGTAAACTTTTATTTTATACTTGTGGGCCACTGCCAATGCAGGGCCTTGGCTTCTGGCTCATTTCTACAGATTTACTTGGAAAAATGTGATAAAGGTAGAAATTGGAACTATTCCTACTAGTAAACCATGATTACTTACTGGTCCATAAATAAAATGCACATGGAAGCCTGTACGGTTATTCAGAAATCTATGACTTTCTGAACTTGTAAAATGCATTTTTTCATATGCAAGAGACAAAGCATCTGAAAAAAAAGACAATTGTCTAGACAAAATGGTGTGAACCTATGGCTTATATTACAGATATATATCACTGCATGTGATGCACCAGTGGAGTAATGAGATTTGACTGCTAACACATAAAGGGGCCCTGCAATTGGATCGCTGGAACCTGACATCATTTCATACATGACTGCACTAGACTATAGCCCAAGGAGTCAGTTTAGCTACCTTATCATCAGTCATCTTTCTGATGAAGTCCAGTAGAAACATCTGCCCACTTGTCAACCTTATCACCACGTTGAGTTGAGGATTGGGCCAATGTAATGCTTCAAAGTTTAATGACCTTTGTTCCAGCACAGGAAAAAAAAATACAACTCCAAAGATTGCTTTTTTCAAACCAACCATCCAACCAACCAACCAACGAACCAAACAAACAAAACCCCATTGTCACCCCATGGCTTGTCCTTTTTCATGTTGCCTCCCACATTCCATTTGTAATGGTAACATGGTCACAAGACTGAGGAACTCAGATAGATTAAAACTGACTGAGGCTGGTTGTGATGAACAACCACCGAGATTCCACTCAGAGTGTGTGCTTTGGCACAACTACAGGGCATGACTATGAGATTACACAAAGTCCATGCACAGTATCCCACAACATGCATACATCACACACACAAATACATTCCATAGAAACAGTCACAGAAAAACTGGCTAAAAGAAATGGACAGTTGTTTACATATATATTTATATACACACAGTAAAAGGTTTTCTGCTGTACTCACAGTCTGTAAACATTGTGGGAAATGCCCAGCAGAAGTCACTGTGGGCCTTTTGAAATGATACTCGTGTGGAGAGGGGGCAGGGGAGGTGTTTAGCTTCATACTGGAAACCCAGGGCGTTCAGGAACCTTCAGTTCATGGTGTCACTTGGGGGTAATTATATTTCACTGACATGATAAACTCAGCTGGCTGCTTTGAAATTATGTTTTGTATACTCCTATGTGGAAAAGAAAATGGCGAAAAAAGTCTTACTGTCGGTTAACATTTTAAGAGCAATCAAGAGCCCGTCAGGTGACATGTATACACGTACATAGGTATGTATACACACATACACATGTTACCATTATCAAAAAAAAATCTCGATGAAAATGTCCAAACCTTCTAAGACTACTAACTCCTTCTCTCCTAGGTGTGCTTTAGACTTCAATGCATTGCGCTGAAAGTCTTAAGCATAGTTAAATGACACATACATTAACGTTTTAGTACATGGTATTGATTTTACATAAAATTTTTTCATTAAAAAATTGGGCTTATGAAAAATAGAACTATTTGATTCAAACATTATTTTGAAATTTAACATAAAAATATGCACAAGATCTCCAATAATGAAACACCATTAAAAAAAAGAAAACGTAGGTTCTTAAAAATTCTTTGCATAGCTGCTATCAAACTGCCACATGTGGATATCAGTCTGTGCCTTAAGTTCCTGTATTTGTTGTAGCTTGAGAATTTATGTTTTAAAAATAAGCCAGTGATACAAAAAACATTAACCTAATTGCTCACCTGAAGTCTGTTTTACCTCTTCCTTTTTTGGGGGGCAAAATATGTGTAAATATCTCAAATAATCATTTTTAGGCTTCTATGCAGTTAAAAACTACTGGCACTGAATGACATTTCAAATAAAGGTGACTTAAATCCATACTGTATTTGGCCAAAAAAAAAATTCCTTTAAAAATAGAAAACCTTGTCATAATCTCTAAACTTTTCCTGGTGACCAGTTCTTATTGAATATTCTACAGAATGGCCATGAAATCTGGCCATGTACTCAAAAACTCTATTTCCATGCGAAGGTAGTAGATATCCTTCTGGTGTAGCTGAACAATCTCCTTTCCCCCTGACAACTCCCACCATCTTTTAGGGCTGAATATAACATGCAAAATACGTAGATTAGATAAATTAAAGAAGTAAGATTTGTTGAATTTGTGGGTATAAACCAGTCAACCCTTCAATGTTTTGGAAAGTGTTTTTTCGGTGGGTGGGACTGAGTCATGGGAGAAGGATGGAAGATGAGATTTCTGGAGATGCAGTTGCTGTCTGTGTGATTTGTCTTTTTTCCTTCCATTGGATTTGAAGGAATATTGATTAATGTTCCTTAAGGTATTCAGTTGATACTGTCCTTGTGGCTGCTCCTCTCTGTGTTATGATTGTTTTGTTCGTGGTTCTTCCATTGGATGCTTGTTCCGTTCATGGGGACCGAGGTCATCAGACTTTTGGACTGGTAACAGCAGCAGCAGAGGCAAGACTGGGAGAAGGAACAGACTCTCAATAAGATGAGACCACCAACCTGTTCCCAGCAGGGCACAGGCCCACCGACAAGGGGTAACTGTCCACAGGCATTTGAGGTCAGACGTGAGGCTCAGCAGTAATCTAGAGTAGGGAGTTTGTAATCTCTAGGTAGAAGTTCAACTGTCCACTCAAGTGCAGAGCAACAGATCCCTTGTTTCCTGTTTTAATTTATTCAGAGTCAAAGAGGAAGGGAAGGCACTGTTGGCCAGAGGGAGAGGGTTCTGTGACTTGGGGTGGGTGTGGGTGGGAAGGGCGGGGTGGGCAGCTGACTTTCATTGTTGTACACCGTGGCTATAATACACACTGTGCTGCATGGCTCTCTGCATTGGGCACCTCATCTGATGCTCTTAACAGCTCTATAGGGTAAGTGCTCTTTTCCTCATTTTATGAATGAGGACGGAGAGACTTAGAAAGGATTATACGAGGCAGAACTGAACTTAGAACCCAAGACTCTCCCTACTGGACTCTTTCCCCTGGGTATGCTGCCTTTTTTATGGAGATCGGTCAAAAATGTGTTTAATTTCAGAGAGTTTGCACCTTGATTTTCCCTCCCCCTCTAATTCATATGTAAACTAATTTGCAACTCACATTAACTCCAGATTACATAATGTATTAGTTATGACCTGTATTTCAGTCGATCTTTCTTAGGCCAGAATCTTTCTTACAGTATCTCATGACTTGTAAACATTATCAAGTAGACTTCAAAAACATGGCAGCTGGAACTTCCATACCAAGTTTCACCTATTTCTATGATTCACTGGTTAAGATGTGTCTGTTTCCTTTCAGATTTTAAGTTCCACAAGGGCAGTCACTGGGTTTTTCCTCTCTTCTCTATCCCTAATAATAATTATAAACTCATACTGAGCACTTTCTATTGTCTCAAGCACTTAATATCAGCCCACTGCATTCCGCTATGAGACAGATACAGTGATCATCTGATTTTTATAGATGAGCAAACTGAGGGAGCAGGAGGGGTACCACTCAGACCCAAGTTAGACAGCTAGCAAGTGCAGAGCTATGACGTAAATCAATATGGTTTGCTTCCAGATCCTGCACCTTGAACTCAATGCTATTCTTCCTAATATGTACTATAAAGTGGAGTTACACATCTTGGCCAAAGATAACAGCATACAGTTAGGATTAACTCTTTGCCAAAATCATTCCAGGAACTGGAAAACTTACAGTTCAATAAGACAAGCTTGGAGCTTTGGGAGGACATGGGTTGACTTAGCTACAAGAAGGTTTGACCAACAGTAGGAAACTGATTTCAAATTAAATTTAAAAAGTTACATTAGTTCAGATTTCCAGAGCCATAAGCATTCACATTCCTTGAAAAGGCTATTATTAAATATCCTATTAAATCACATTTATCGAGAGCTATCTTAATAACAAATTTATGTTTTATTGAGATTGTGGTTAAAGTCTAAGATAATGGAAGGCATCAGTAGGTTTTATCTATTCTCTTGGCCTAGAGCTCAAATTGGAGTATTTCTTTTTAAAGCACGGTACTAAGCTGGCATGTTATTAAGTTAGTTCTTTTTATTTTAACCTCTGAATATGTTGTTGTCTGAATAGATACTGCTTTTCTGTTATGCTGGCAATCTGACCCTCTTTCTGGGTAACAAATGTGATTCTCACTTGTCTGCTGAAAAGTACAGCTGAGGAAAGTGATATTTACAGCGGGAATTAGCCATGCCTGTTGGCTACTTCGTAGACTCCCCTGGTTGTGTTTAAAATATATTTGCAAAACGTCTTACCTGGAAACAATTTTTAAATTTCTTGCTCACAAAATAAAGAGCTATTGGATTTATACATGAATTCATGGTTGCGAGGTTAATACCGATGTAATCCATGAGCAGCAAGAAACTGGAGAAAAAGAAAACAGAGTATATAAATTAGAACATAATGTTTTAAAATCTGCTCACTAGCACTTATCTCTAGAATAAGCATTTTTCTTGCCCAGAAGCCATTTCTTACAGGTGGCAGGCAGAAATTTTTTTAAAAAGTCTTTGTTTAAATGGCAATTTAAGTTTTGCAGAACATTTACAGATATACCCACCACTTGGTTAACTCAAACCTTTCTGCACAGACTCAAGAGGGAAGTGGCAAAATGACTAATCTGGCTTGCACAAATTTTTGGATTGGTTATGGGCTATGGCAGCTAAAGAAAAATAAATCAACTTTGCAGTTTTAATTTTCAACGAGAAAGTAGACTAGAGGGTTTTGTAAAAGCATTGTAAATGTGAAAATCAGAGAGACTCCAATTTCCTCCTGAGTACATAAGATTGTACCTAAGTAATTCACATCGGTTCTTGTCCATCTCATCATACACGGTTTTCTTCAAAATACGACTTAAATGAAGAGGAAACCAGCACAGAGCGAAAATCACAACCAAGCAGAACACTGTTTTTGCCACTTCTCGACGCTAAAGGAAAGTGGGAAAAAAAAAGCACCATAAATTTAATGTTTTTCTCTTAGAGGAAAGAGCTACACAAAGGGAAGAAGTCATCTGGGAAAGAATAACTCAAAGAAGACCCAGAAAAACAGGTTTCTTTTGTATAGCACAGGGAACTATATTCAATATCTTGTAATAACCTTTAATGAAAAAGAATATGAAAAGAAATATATGTATGTGTATGCATGACTGGGACATTGTGCTGTACAGCAGACACTGACACATTGTCACTGACTGTATTTCAATTTAAAAAAAAAGAAGAACACACACACACACACACACACACACAAATAAAAAAAAAAAAAAGAAAAAGGAGACCCAGAATAGCCTGCCTGACCATGCCTCCATCTCTTCAAGATTTGGAATCCGACTTTCTAAGCAAGGAGTTGCTAAGTGATTCTTTTGGGCAGCTGCCAATAAGGATGGCTGGTCCTTAGGGCCAGGACAGAGATTCGATGGTGGGCAGACATGGGAACTGGCTGAGTTGGGCCAAAACTGTGGCTGAGTCTGTGTGTGTGTGTTGAACATATGGAGGAAAGGGTTAGCCAAAAGCCTCAACAGCAGGTCACTCACCAGCTTTAATGGTGGTACGGCAGTTCATGATGGAACCTAGCATAATTGAAAATAGACAAATCTACAAAGACGTTTGGAAAACAGGAGCAGGGAACAGTAAAGAAAAAGGAAGAACGATGTGCTTTCTCCATTTCTTGATCCTAGAGAAAGCTGGCACTGGGATTTTTTTTGCTTTTAAAATTCTTTCATTAATGACATGTCGTTTCCAAAGATACATTGTTTGCAAATAGAGGGATGAGGGTAAAGGATTATCAGCCATAACGATTAGGAAAACTGAGACGTGTTGATCCTGGACTGACTCCAATGGCAGGTTTACATGGTTTTGGGTCTGCACAGGATCAGCAAAACTGTAGGTTAGGAATTATCTGCAACCAGTGTGCACTGTACACAAGTCTTACAGGGGATGCGTTTGGAAGCCCAATGGGGAACCTAAAATGCAACTTGTCTGTAACTGGAATCAGTTCATGTCAAAATAGAACTGATTGAAAACAGGGTGTGGAAGGGTGATGCTGGTTCAACTCGAAGCATACAGCATTAAATATGGGAAGCCTACAACAAACTCACATGATTAATGGAGCTGTTTAAAAAGATTTTAGGGCAATTGTCACGAATTGCTGCTCTAGCCCAAAGAATTGGGGGTTCTTTAATCTTTCAGACTTACCCAGCTAGCTAGCTTCAGAGAATGCATAAACTGAAATCAAGAGAAATAAAGGATTCCTTTATTTATTAATCTGCAGGAATGGGGGATCATTTTAAAGGGCTGTTTCGTGTACACAGAAAGACGGTGCACCCAGAAAAACAAGGCACCAGGGGAGAGGTTATGTTCCCTGAGCACATCCTCAAAAAGGATAACTTTTTAAAAGGTAATATTAATATGTTGCCATGACAGGCTGGTATTTGGTTAACCAATATCCATTCTTCTATCCTTACTATCAATCAGATCCTTGATAGCTTCATTGTCTGCCTGGCCACCTGATATGGTCTTGACCCATTAGACTCAGTAGAAATTGTTGTGCAGGGGTTTCTGGAAAGGCTACTGAAAAATGGGGGGTACCTCTTTGGTGCATACACACTAATGCGATCTGTGTTCTTCCCCTTCCTCCTGCCTGGAAATCAGGCATAAGGGTAGAGCTGTAGCTGCCATCTTCCGCTAGTAAAGGAAAGGTTAGCACCGTGGCAGAACTCTGACTTCTGTGTCCCTTGACCACTGAGCCAATGACATCTGAACCTTTTGCTGTGGGAGAAAGATAAACCCCTGTGTGGTCTACTCCATGTTGTTCTGGGTTTTCTGCTACCAGGCATCCAAACACAATCCCGAATCGGTAAAAGGTATTGTCAGAATACCGAAGACAAATGCAAGAAAACTCACAAGAAGCAAGACCAAGAGCCATACAGGGAGACTAGACAAGGGTGGCAAGGCCTTTTCACACTGAGCTGGCTCTGCTGCCATCCCCGCTGAAGGCCTTCCCACCAGGTTCTCCTGCTGTTAGAACCTGCTCCAGCTCTGAGTATGACACAAGGGCACGTCTACTGCATGGGGACCAAGTCTTGGGTTCTAACCTCCATTTAGTTGAGCCAGTCTCTCTCTTTTTTTAATTGAAGTACAGTCAGTTACAATGTGTCAGTTTCTGCTGTACAGCACAATGTCCCAGCCATGCATATACATATGTATATTACTTTTCATATTCTTTTTCATTAAAGGTTATTACAAGATATTGAATATAGTTCCCTGTGCTGTACAGAAGAAATTTTTTTTAAATCTATTTTTTAATATATAATGGCTAACACTTGCAAATCTCAAACTCCCAAATTGATCTCTTAACCATCTATATCATAAGGGTCATGTCCATCCAGCTTATCTCACAGGTTGGTTGATTGGACAAGGGATCAAATACCAAAATGAAATGGAAATGCTCTTTGAAACTTAAAAAATGCTATGAAAATGTGACACAGCACCATATTATTACTGCTCCCAACCCCTATTTCAATTATTTTCAGTACAGTTACCACTTAGAGCATAACCAGGCTCCATCGTGCTGCAAACGCAAAAATCCAACATTTAAAAATACTGTTATCCACAAATCTATTCCAATTAGTTATCTCCACCGCAGGCATGAGAAGTACAATGGCTTAATATGTTTCACATCTGGAGTGCTTGAAACATTTATGCCTGGACAATGTTAGACAAAAGTTTCTCAATACAATTTCCTGTTAAATTTTAATAAGAGATAATAGCTACCATTTGTAGAACATGTTAGATTTATAAAGTGTGTGTATCACATTAACTCCTTTGATTCTCATAATAATACTGATTCATATATTATTATGCCCAATTTACAGATAGGGAGCGGAAGCTCAGAAAACCCAGCACAATAGTTGAGAAGAGTTGCTGATGAAGAATGATGCTTGTGTACGGTAGTGATACAGGGCAGATGTCCAGGCTCACGTTAACTTTTGTGTGGTTGAGCATCCTTAGATACTTCTCTATGGAGACTGAGAACTCACCTGCAGTCTTGGCTTCACTCTTTGAATTCATATATATCAACATTTTTTTAAAAGTATTACCTGTGAGTTGGGTTCTATTGGTCACTGTCCATGCATTAGGTAATCCCCTTGATATATTATTATATACTACATTTTATTTAAAATGTTTAAGACTCAAAATTGAATTAGTATTTGTACAGAAAGGTGCAGGTCTTATTACATACACTTTGTGAAGAACTAGAAGCTCAGAGTGGTTAAGTAATTTGCACAACGTCACAGAGCCAGCAAGTATAAGCGTCACAGCTTATCTGTTCTGTTTGTTGCCCGGGCGAGACCAACAGCCTCCTGTTGACACGTTCCAATTTCTTCTAGAACTTTGGGCCCTCCAAAATGTGACTTCTTATGCAGTCCTGTTTCCTATCATGAGTCTTACCTTAGGTGTTGCTCTAATAAGGTCCACTTCTTTTTCCCACTCCCCAAATGTGTGGTGTCCATGCCACGTTCTAGCCAGACTCTTGTCCTCCCACCTGAAGTGCCCTCCATCCTCTTCTTCCTCCCCGTAGAACCCATTTATCCTCCATGAACAGTTCAGTGCCCCTCATCCATGAACAGTTTCTCCATGACTTTATCTCAGATCCCCCTTGGCTTTCTATAGCACAGGCCACTTTTACCTCACCCTGTGATTCTGTCTTCCAGTTGTTTCATGTTTGTGTTATTTCCACAATGGCACTGCAAAGCCTGCCAGGGGAGAGAGTCACATGCTTCTTTTTTTGTCCTGACACCGTTCCAAATCCAGTTCAACATACTACTAAACACAAACGCACATATTCAATAGACTTTTGGCAAAATAAATGAATCGTTCCTTTCTATCGGGGCCCTGCCCCCAGGGCCACCTGTTTCACAGGTAGGATCTCTGCTTCACAAAAGAAACTCCAAATACTCTAACTATAAAGAAAACAAGACATATAAACAAGACAGTGTTTTTCTTCTTAGGAAATCAGGCTACATCTGTGAAATAGAGTATTTGTACGCCTTGTGCTGTCAAGGACAAACCAGTGTTGGCCAGGTTGTCGTGACCCTTATTGGGTTTACCTGTTTCAGATGTTCACTGAGGGCAATTCTCAGGCTGCCGTTCCTCCTGTTTAGCATCTCACAAGTCATGAGGGTGTAGAAGATTGCAGTGCACACCAGGGGCATGCAGAAGTAGAACCCGAAGAGCCACCAATCTTTTACATCTTGGTAGAACTGTAAAGAGAAGAGAAGGGAGAAAAGGAGGGCAATATACCGAATATTAGCTGTGCAGAGCTGCTGGTGGCTGCAGCATCTTCGTGCTTGCAGATACATTTGTATATTCATGCTCTTTGGTTGTGGTAATGGGCTGGGGAGGGGGGTGCTCAAAACTCAACTAAAGCTCAGTGGTAGAGTGCCTGCTTAGCATGCACAAGGTCCTGGGTTCAATCCCCAGTACCTCCGTTAAACAAACAAACAAACCTAACTACCTCCCCCCATAAAAATAAAATAAAAGGAAAATCTAGCTTTGTTTTGTTTTATTTAAAAAAACCCTCAACTAAATTGGAAACTCCAGACATTATCCTGGCTTTATGATAGCACACAAAGAAATCACTTTAGAAAATTTATGGTAACAAAGATACTTTAAAAATTTTTTTAATTATTTATTTTATTTATTTTTTAAAATGGAACTATAGTCAGTTACAATGTGTCAGTTTCTGGTGTATAGTACAATGTCCCAGTCATGCATGTACATACATACATTCATTTTCATATTCTTTTTCATCAAAGGTTATTACAAGACTTTTAATAAATTGAAGTTGGCCTTAGTTACAGAATGGAAGAGCTCTAACTAATAAAATGCATTCCCTTCCAAAGCTCCTAAGACATGATTTTGAGACATATGGAATCTATATTTATCTCTACTGGCAAGCGTCAACATTTTGTTAGTGCCTGGTTTCCTTCTGACTGTGGGGGTTAAAGTGTACTTACTGTGCCTATCTTGTTTGGAAAAAGTGAAGGTTATGAATGGTTTATCTGTGAGCTTTGGTTAACTGGGAGTTAACCCTTTGCCTGGTATGCCTGCTATGTGACCTCCCAGCCAGTTGCTCAGAGCCATCAATAACCATCCCTTTCTTGTTGGCTTTTAATACTTCCCACCTGGAACCTATGGAAGCCCAGTACCTTATCTGAAAGCATAGTGAGCATTATCTCCCTGTGGACAGAATTTGTTAAGCACCAGGATTACTCAGTGTTATGTCTTTTTAAAGCAGAAAATTTCATACCCAGTAAAAATGGAAATTAGAAAATCATATCTAAATTCTTCCACTGAAGTAATCACCAACTTGGGAAGAAATGCGTTTCCTTTCCTTATTCTGTTTCCCCAGATTGTTTATTTACTAAGGATAATGCAGCCTCCTGTAATTTCTCAGTTCCCACAGTAAAAAAAAAAAAAAAAAAAAAAGTCATGCTGCTCTGTGAAAAACTGGAGAGTTTCTGAATATAGAAAAGAGGCCCAGTGGACTACATTTATAACATGTCTATTAAAATATGCTATAAATGGTTCCTGAGGCAAAAAAGTTCTAGGCAGGGGTTCTTAACTATTTTTATGCCCCAGCCCCCTTTGACTTTCTGGTAAAGACTATAATCCTTTCTGAGAATCATGTTTTATGTGCATGAAATAAACTGTGTAAGATTATAATGGAAACCCAGTACTTCACAGCACAGCTAGCAGAGTAGGAAAAATAAAATTCTGATGTAATAATATATGTGTTCATTTACAAATTAAATGACAAATCTAATGGTGGTTCTAATAACTATCAGGATGTAGAAGCAATGATGAGTGTAAATGATATTTCAAGATTATCCAGCCAAGATAGTGGTAGGAAAATGCCTTATTTCTATTCGTGAAAAAACTCATGGTACTGTTAAATACTACTGTGGTTTGTTGTCTACATTCGTATTAGAAGGAGATGATAAATTTCAGTTAGAAGTTAGTGAATATAAACATGCAATTTCTTTTCCATTCAAATTCACAGACCCCTGAATTCTATCCTCAGGTTAAGTGCAGACCTCCCAATGAAGCTGGTTTATTCAAACCTGTCCTATTCCCATCACACTGGAGAACGATTTTAGTACTGCACTGAAAAAAACAAACAAACAAAAATCAGAAGGACTCTCTCTTTGTTTAAGACACTCCTGTGAGCACCCTCTTCCTTGCACCCCCTTCTTCTGGGCGCACTTGTGGCTGGCTGAGACTGCCCAGAAGCAGCTGCGGAGGGCCTGGAAGCTGGCCCCCAGGGGACCGGATGGAGTCCCCTGCCCCCTCCAAGGCAGAAGCCTGGAGAGAACAGGGTCACACATTTCTTTTGAGCTGATGTCATCCATGAGGGGATGGAGGGACCTCCCTCCAGTCTAGGTTAGCACAAAGTTGAGGAGGAAAGGGCAGACAAAGGGGGAATCAGAAAAAGAGAATAGGAGGGGAAAGAGAATCCTAAAGCTTTAGACTTAGAATGAAATTTTAAAAATCATCAGTGCAAACTCATACCTTTTACTGCAATGCTCTAGGTGCCCCCTGCCTGAAGGGTGGCCACTCTGAGCTTCACTGCTAGAAAGGAGACACAGTCCTGATGAAGAAACCCATTTCATTTTGTCCAGCTGGAAGGGTTAGTAAGATCCTTCTTACATCAAGCCTCTTCTCTCTAACGGCTTAGACAGGGTACCTAGACTGCTCATTCACACTGCCCAAATTCTGATAGCCTCCTACTGTCTACTTTGTTTTTCACTGTGGCTTATCTAAAATAGTCAGCAGATAAGCAGAAGACCTTAATTTTAAGGTTGGCAGTTTGGCAGTGTTCATGATTATTTTTAATTTTCAAAGAATTTCCAAGCTGGATAACTGGTGAACTGTAAAACCACTAATTTTGTGAATTTTCCAAGGTAGGAAAACATACCTTGAGATGTCTGTAAATGAGTAAGTGTGAATCTGAGCTGTGCGAAACTTGCATCAAAGCACTAAGTAATGCTGATTTAAAAGAAATAGCTACCCTTTTGGTTTTTATCCCCGGGCGACATGTGACTAGTTTTACAAAGGGAATATGCATTTCAAACATGTTTCCTGATACTCTCAGTCATGTGATTAAGCTTTTCAGAAAAGTTAATGTGGTCGGGTGTATTAAACAACAACTGAATTTGTTACACTAAAATAAACACTTTTTAGAAAAGTTCTGCAAATTTCTATTATTTGCATATTTGAATCTATACTAATATAAGCACAATGGGAGAATGACTTTCTACTTTGAATTAGTAAATCTATCTTCAAAAAAATGTGTGAGCAACATGGATTACCCCAAATAATATAAAATAAGTATCAGCGTGTCTGTCAGATGGAAATTGTTGTGCTGCATTCCTTATTATCAAAACAAACAGCACTACATACATACACATCAATCTTTCTTTCTTAGTAAAGTTGTTCCAGAATTCTGAGGTGTTGGTGCAGAGCAACAGTTGTGTCTACAGTTGTGCTACAATGTAAGAGTGAAGACAAAATAGTTGTCCTATTCAAGAAGCTAAGCCCTGCTTTAACATCTACTTTGCATGCAACTGAAGGATGTTTGAACTAGCAGTGTAAACCACACTTGGCATTGTACAGATAACAAGTCTTGGTGATGGTAAAGTATAAATGAAGACCCCCCCACCACACACACAATTAATTCCCTTTATACTGTTCATACCTCCATGAATTTTGATGTGGCATTGAGCATACAGGTTTTGTGCTGTTCACCCTTGTACTCAAAGGGCACCATGACGAAGCCGATTGCTTCAGGGATGGCCAGGATAAAAGAAAGGATCCAGATGGAGACAATCTCGATGGCTGTGACCAAGGGAATCCCAATGCCCTGAACACGACTCCAGGAGGCAACTGCTCTGTACCTGGGGAGAAAAAGGGGGGTGATGGAATCCGGTTGTTAGGAAATTTTAAGTTTATTTCAACGAAATAAAAATTGTAAATGTTGGAAAGCTCCTTCCACTGGCCAGCAACCAACCATTGACTTTTTAGGAACACTCTGTGAGCCCTGGTGTGAAAAACAAGTGGGGCCATTAAAAGTTCCACCCATTTGGAGATCAGTTACAAGGCAGGCCTGAGTCTGAGAGCCTCCCTTGGGGTCTAGCAAAATCTTGTTAGGGTTTAGAACGTGGTGGCATCAGATAGGTGTGCCTATATTTTTTAAGCAGGAACATTTTTTTAAGGAAAAGATTGGATGATGGAAGCTGTACTGTAAGCTGCTGGTACTGGTTATGGTAATATCTTAATTCTTTTTATGTATTAAAAAACTTGACATATTATCTATGAAGTGGATCTAGACACCCTTAAGTGAAGAGTTGCCGTAGATTTACTTTGTTTTCTCTCTCTTCTACCCTCAAAATATGATCACATTGGACTTGTACCAGGTGGCCGTCTTAGTAAATAAATAATATACCTAATAATAATATTTTAAAATGTCAAAGAATGACTGTATCTCTCCCATATGGCCCTGTGCTGGACTATATAAAACCGAGCTAGAGATACCTGGGTTCCTAATCTTTAGGGTTTATAGTCTAACAGAAAAGAATGGTTCATACAGAAGCATAGGATATAAATGTAACTGAATAATTATGCCGATCAAAAACCAATGGGCATTAAGAAATAGCGTTTGCCTTATTTTTGACCTAAATATTCTTATGATAATCACATTTAAATATGAAGTCTAAAGAAAGTCTGGTTTCGGAAACTCTGTGCTCTTTGACCTGATGTGATGGTCTGGTGCTAAGTGCTTTCAGACTTACTATTAAGAAGGGACCTGGGATGTGGTACGGTATTTTTGTGGCTTCATTCTTCAAATTTTTGTTGCTGTTGTAATGGAAAGGAAACATTCTCTTTTTATAGCTTTCAGGAGATAATGCCAGAAGAAGGCCATAAAACAGACCAAGGCATTGGAGACAGGTGCACACAGCTTTGCAGGCCAGGCAATTTCATGGGGAATAAGTCAGTAAAGCCAAGGCCAGTTACAAACTACCCTTCACCACCAAAATGAGCTGCATCACTTCCACGTAGCGTTCTGTCTCAGCACATCTCATCACCTGCAAAAACTCAGCTCCTAGGAATTACGTGACTCTGTTCTTCCCTGTAGATGAGGACCTATAGTTTTGGCATGCACGATGGTGCCACGTGGCATACAGACAGCACAATTTGCTGGAGACGTGTTTCGCAAATTTTTAGGATAAATAAGATTGGTGTGCAATAGGAACCTCTGACAAAGCCCAGATGAGTTCAGAATGGAATAAAATACAGCTATGCATACAGACCAGGAAAATCCTTTTACGCATAGCCAACATTGCATTTTAAAATTTATGGTTATTACTAGTGGAATAAAGAGTGCTACATATGCTCTCTCCTTCTGTTTATTTCTCTTTGCTGCCTTGTTCAATGGGCAGCCTGATGTCCAGTAAAAGCTAAAAGGAACAGAGACGGGATGTCTCTATCCTGAGGCTGTCAATGAGTTTTATCTGTTTTCTTCTCCCCTCCTCTTAGATCGGTTATCAGGAAAGGTGATGTGAATAAAAAACTTTATCTCTTAAGACAGTAAAAAAGCCAGATTTCTTAGGCAGGATTGGAAATAGAATGTGGCTTAAGTAAGAAAATGTGGTCTATGTGTTCTTATGATGAATATAGTCACAGACCAGCTTCATTTTATAATGTGCCTCGGAGTTCCCAGAATATTACATGTCTAAAACACAATGTAAATTCAACATTTAAAAATAAATGGAAGTAATTTTTAGTGTCTAGTTGAGCAAATGATTCATAATCAGCCTGTGCTTTAATTAACCCATGTGACTGAGAATTAGAATATTTTCCATTTGTGATCACACTGATCTTGATAACATCTCCATGAGATGAGAAAACAACCATAAAAGCAGTTAGAAACAATCATTTGTGATGATGGACATGGGGAAAGGGGTGGAAAATAGGAAATACTGGATGTTCCAAAAAATGATTTCTGTTTGGGGGATAATGACACAGCACGCACATGCACGTGCGTGCGTGCACACACACACACACAATATTGTGTGCTTGGTGGGTGTTATCATAAATAGCCTTCAATCAAGTCAGTGCATATATATGACATCCTCACTCCATAGAAAATTTGCAAGTGTAGAGACGACCACCAACAACTGATATTCTAGAGATAATCCTTCCTCTTTGAAATGCTTTCTGCACTTGGTTTTGACCACATTCTCCTGGTTTTCATCCTGCTTATGAGGCTGGCCAGTCCATCTCATCTCCTTGGCTAGATCATGCCCACACCTCAAGCTCTTACCATTGGATTTCTCCTTAGTCCTCGGACCGCTTTTCTTTTCTATCTAAACACTCTCTCTTAGTGATCTCATCTAGTCTCATGGCATTAGAACTCTCTACATGCTGATAGTTAATTCTCAAATTTATAACTGTAGCCTAGAACCTCACCTCTACCTCTAGATTTGTATGTCCACCTGCCTACTTGAGATAGCCATTCAGATATCTCGTAGGCATTGAGACTCACCCAAACCAGACTCTGGGTCTTCTTCCTTGCCCTCTTCCTTGCCCTCTCCAGTCTACCATCTCAGGTCTCAAACCCTGAAGTTAGCCTTCACTCCTCTTTCTCTTTTCCACCATACATTCAATTCTTTAACAAACCTTGCAACCTCTTCCTTCAAAACGCATCCAGGTGCAACCACGTCTCTCGGTCTCATCTGTTACCATCCACCCGGATTACTGCAGTAGCTTCCTAACTGGTCTCCCTGTGTCCACCTAGCCCTCCTGCAGTCTGCCCCCAACACAGTGACTGCGGTGAACCTGTTAAAGTGTCAGCCAGTCATGTCACCTCTCCGCTCAAATCCCCCAGTGGGTTCCCACCTCAGCGGGAATGCCTGCAGGTGTCCTCAGAGCCGCCTCGTCACTTCTTTCAGGCCTTTACGCAGCAGTGTCTTTTCAGCGAGGCCTTCCCTGGATGCGCTATTTAAAGTTGCCAGCTTCCCCGCCCCACTCACTCTGATTATTTTTCTCCGTAGCACTTACAACCATGAGACCAACCAATTCTTCTACTCATTTATTTTTTGTCTATGTCTACCTCTCCCTTTAGAATATAAGCTCCACCCCCAAAACAAAAATAAACAATATATAAATAAATAAAAAGACCATAAGCTCCATAGGACAGATACTTTGTATGTTGGTCACAAGACCAACATACCATAGGTGCCAGATAAATATCTGTTGAATTAAGCGTCTTTGTTTCCTTCCTTACCATGCATTTATCTGTATTGGCCAAAGCCAGTGTACACTCCGAACATTTTCTTACTTTTCAAGCCAGCCCTGACTTAGGCAACAGATAAAGAGCTAATACTTTTAGAATCCTAGAATCAAATAATATAAAACCAAGAAGGACTTTTGGGCTGATCTTTCTCCCCTCATGTTCTGGTTGGGAAACTGAGGACTGGTGTGTTACCACGTCCTCTGCCTGGGTCAGGGTTCTGGTCTGCAAAGTCCCAGGGCAGTCTTTTCCCATGACACCACCTTGTCCCCTGACATGCCAAAATGTCATGTGGCATGCCAGAATAAAAGAATAAATTACATGTTTTATTTATGTAAAGATGTTTGTTACTGTATATGTCTATAAATAGATTTTTACTTGTTTTCAAGGCTAGAGGCATTTAACGCATGTTTCTGAATCTTTAAGGTATGATCTTGGAAACTCATTAAGTTAAAAGTAAATATTATTGAATTTACTTTAAAACAGTGTAAAAGGAACTTAAATTCAAAAGATATCACTTCAGCATAATCTATTTTCATTTCTTCTCATTCTTTGCCCATTTCTATTTTCATAAGCAGTTTGGATATATATTATAACCTTATCAGTTACAATTTTATTTCTTGGCTTTATTCACTTTTCATTACAAAGCATACTCATGTTTCTACACAGGCATAGCATTTATTAATTTCATGGCTACACGGTATAACAACATATTGTACAATTTACCTAAATCTTTCTCCTATAATCATATCATAGTTTCTGGCGTTTCAAGGTTGTGAATAACATGAGTATAAATACATTTGCACATACAGATTTTTTTCTCTTTTTGAATGATTTTCCTGGGTTAACTATTTTGAGTGCAAATAGTGAATCAAGGGAAAGAAAAAGTAGCTTAAGTACCTTTAAAAAATGTGTCTACTAAGTGCCTGTCAATGCTTGCCTTCATTAGAATTTATTTTTCTTCAGTTTTGCCACTTCCATAAGGTGAAGTGGCACTTATATCTTTACGTCTGCACATTGAGAGCAAATGTGACCATTTATAATGTTTGTTTATGATTTATGTCTCTTATGTGATAGGCAACGCAACTGCCATACAGAGGTTTGGAGGTTGAATACTATCAGGAAGAATTTTAAAGGGAAGCCAGGTGAGGTGGCTTAAAAGATAGCTGCGGAAGGACGAAATACTGGCATTTGCAGCAACATGGATAGACCTAGAGATGATCATATTAAGTGAAGTAAGTCAGACAGAGAAAGACAAATATGTGGTATCACTTATATGGGGAATCTAAAATATGATGTAAATGAACATATTCCCAAAACAGAAACAGACTCACAGACATAGAAAACAAACTTACAGTTACCAAAAGGAAAAGGGCGGAAGGGATAAATTAAGAGTTTAGAATTAGCAGACACACTACTATATATAAAATAGATGAACAAGGACCTACTGTATAGAACAGGGAACTACATTTAATACCTTGAAATAACCTATAATTGAAAATCATCTGAAAAAGAATATACATTTACAAATGTATAAATGAATCACCTCACTGTGCACCAGAAACTAAACTGTAAGTCAACTAGCTTACAATTACAACGTACAAA